CGTACACTGTACGTCGTCAGTCACGAAGGGGTTAAAGGGACGATTTTAGTGACTATGTTAAGTCACTAACATAGCGATCAGGTAGAGAGACCAATACGTGTTAGGGCATGCGTTTGTGTTAGCAGCAGTTTTCATGTCTGATATACACTGGCACTTCCACCTTTTCTCATTGCTAAAATTACCACACAAAGGTTCTCACCACCAAGGACAACATACAGACTTCATTTGTATTTCAGAACAAACATGTTTTACTTTTCGTATTAAGTTTGTAGAAGCTAATTACAGTGACTGATCAATGTTTTTTTTAACAGTGCTAAATAAGTTGACAAACAGGTTTGGTTTGTTGTGTACTCATTTTACAGCTTACAGCATCTAAACCCGAGTTTTTACTCAGTATGTTTGCCTGCCTTTTAGTCGCTATGCTATGGTAATACCATTCTGTATTGAAGTAAACAGAAGCATTACTCTACTAGAAGCTTACCAATAAGGGACTAAAGTGAAATCTGTTTTTCCTGTACAGGTGATTGGCACTCTGCCATGGCTGCTGAACACTCCAGGGATCACAGCAGGGGCTGCTACAGCTGCAGTCTCGGCTCCAAACATGGTTCAAGCAGTGACACCTCAGCTTTTGCTGAATGCCCAAGGACAAATTATTGGCACTCTGGCTAGCAGTGCCATCCAGCCAGCAGCTATAAGAAAGCAAGCTTCACAGGACAATCCAGCTAAGACAGATCAGCAGGTAGTTTCATATCTATCTATCTTGTATGAGACAGGGACACCCAGGATCAGTCCAAAGCAGGTTTGTCCTGCACTTTTATTCAGCAAGGCAGCAAACAAACTCAATTGTCATTCAAGAGGGACATCAAGTCCATAACACTAAACACCAAAATATCTGCAAACAGGCAACTAATGTACCTTTTTAGTGTATTGTCAGCGGTCAGCCTTTTCACCTAGTGGCAGGTTCCCACAGCAGCGAAAGGGAGAGGCTCCATTAGTCAGCTCACATATATAAAGGTCCTTGCATATCTGATGAGGTTGGCTATCAGGTTATAAGTGGACCAAGTTGTAAAGATTGTATGTATAAAGTAAGTATGTTTTTAGGACAAAATAAAAAAATATGTGACAAATAGACAGTAATACCACAGTATAATGAACCAATCAACTATCATTATTCAGAAAATCTTGTTTGCAAATAATGCAATACAAACAAAAGGCAAAACGCACAATTCGCTTGCAGTGCCATTCATTTGTAATGGTACGCGAAACATGGAATGCAAAATACACAAACTACTACAGGATCTTTTTTGTCGCCTTTGTCACGCGTATTGAACCCATTGAAATCAATGGGGACGCACGGCAAACGCGCACGAACGCATGCTAATTGGACGCATGTTCCCATGTCGTGCAGGTGTGAACCGTGTCTAACAGTTCTGTGAGCAAAAAGATGACAAATGATATTAACTTATTAGGACAGTTTAAGAAACACTGTTGTTATGCAGTAACCAACAGCAACTAATCAGAAATCATCTTTAACTTGTCAGACAGCAATGAACTGAGAATGTTTGGTTGCAGTAGGTAACTGCTGTTTGCACAGTGTAAGGGCAGGTGTAGCTAGCTGTGTACATAGCTGCTTTTAAAGCCTTCAGTTTACCGCCTGCATCAGTCCATTTGTCAGGACATTGTATTGGAATACGTTGCAGTGCACAAACAGCCAAGTTTCACACAGCAAAATAGTTGCTTGTAGTTTCAATGAAAGATGTAAGCAGTGTGTGTGTGTGTGTGTGTGTGTGTGTGTGTGTGTGTTCTTTGGATTGCCATATAGAATGAGCCAGGCTGGTCCTCATTTATTATGTCTGGAATAGAATATCTGTACCGCTCCAAACCATCCAGTTAGGTGCCCATTCACTCAAGAATATGACTGCTGGAGAATGACTACTTGAAACTGTAGCTATTTCACAGTTATTTCAGACACTATATTAAAGGAGAACTATGGGGTAAGTGTTATTCCCCATAGTTCTCCTAAGGGTCACGGGGGGACACAAACAAGCGTCCTCCCGTGACCAAAAGCTCAGTATACCGCTACTGCTCGCGGTATACTGAGACCACTGCAGCCGGGACGGATCCCGACATTACTGTTGAGATCCATCCAGCTGCGTGATTGACAGCTGGCTCTGCCTATCTTGAGGCAGAGTCAACTGTACCCGCCCCTCCCCCGTCTGTTCCGCCAGTCAGTGCTGGAGGATCGGAGGGGGGAATCCCTGCAGGGAGCCGTGAGTGACAGTCATGGCTCTCTGCAGGGACATGATAGAGAAGTGAACGAGCGACGGTATGTGTACGCTCACTTCAAGATCTATTGAGCTGACGTGTGCCAGTTTCATTGTCACACGTCGGCTCGAACTATGAGGTTGAGTGAAAATCACTCACCTCATAGTTCTCCTTTAAGCCCATAGTTATATTTACCATTTACCAACATAACTAAAAGGTGCAATCATATTTTTTACATCTAGATCAAGATGAATAAGAGTTTGTATATAGTTTGCAAACTTCTCAACCATTTTATTTTTAGCTGCAGCCAGCACAGCAAATCCAGCCTGCTCCATCTATAACACAGCCTTCAGTGGTTGTAGCGAATCCAACTCCAGCCAATACATCAGCAACTCCCCAAGTCCATGTCAGCTCTTCTGAGCCCCCAACAGTGGGCCAGCTGGTGTCAAGTAAGTAAGCCCAGCTCAACTCATCTATGCCTGTACATTTTAGAAATGCAAATAATCTTATTCACGCTTGATTTTACACCTTTTAGGTGTGTGTGTGTATTATTTAGGTATGAAAACTCTACGTCTAGTTTTCATACCTAAATAAGCTTTTTATATTTCTTAAAAATTGCTAAATTAAGCAACACATGCTGTTGCAGTTAAATTTAGCAAGGATATCTAGGCATCAAAAGGGTTGATTGTAAGTAAAGTAATTTCCAGTGTTACTTCTACACTTTCATGTCCTTATTTTTGCAGATTTTCTTGCTTGGTAGATTCTCCTCCTAGTGGGCATTTGTATATCAAATTATATAGAAATTAGCCAATAATAAATAAAAAATCCACACCCCTAACAATTCACTCTATCTGCAATTTTGTTTTCCTGGTTATAATTCCCTACCTTTTCAGTTTTTATTAATGTAATGTACAGGTCCTTCACAAAAGATACCACCTAGCAAACTTGTGTGAGTGTGTGAGTCCTCCACAACACTCATATTAACCCACATGCTCTTCAACACCAAACATACAGTATGTCGTGTAGCCCAGAAAAATAGGCCTGCTTCTCTGAAAACATTAGTCCAACTTACAGAACCTGGCTTTTCCACATCACCAGATCCCCATGTTGTGTTGTATAAATGTATGTAATGTGAAATGTAGTGCAGATAAGCTGATATCCTAGCTCTGGTAAAATGGTAGTTAGCTGTAGCTTCTAAGTGAGCAAAGTGTTTAAAGTGTTTTTGTAAAAAAATGTTTTACAAAATAGATATAATACACCCCCAAACACTATTCAGCATTTTTGTAAAACATCTCAGGCCTCTTTGTTTCCATTAGTCTTGTGTTTTGTCTGATTTAAAAATCTTGTCTAGGATAAAGCAACCCTGTCTTAAATCCAAGCAAATCACACTGATCACATTGAAACTGGGAACCACAATGATCAGAAGATTCAAATATTTAGGAAAATGAAGTAAAAATATGCAAATCTTTACTTTTTTGGTTTAGCTTTGTTCCGTGTCATCCCACCTCTCAGGACTCCCTATTGGTGCTTCAGTGTGGCTTTACTGATCAGTAGAATTGATCTGGGTCAAGCAGCTTAAACTGATTGTTCTAGCATGAAGTCACACTTTTGTATTTTTCTTTCATATGTCCAGCTTAAGTGATTTCATTGTAAATTGTGCCTGTGGGTTTATCTTACCTACCAAGGTAACCCCAGGCTTGGTTTATCCTTAAAGGGCCTAGGTATATCTCAAACTCAGGATCTTTATTATAAATATATCAAACACCATCCCCCTTACTCCCGTTGATGTCTACTTGATGGAACTGAGGCCACCTTAGAAGGTATATACTGGCATATTGGGTAGAATTGGGTAATATCCAAGAATCTCCACCAGCTGCAATATCAACCCAAACAGGCTTGAGTTTCAAACTTGGTTGATCAGTATACCTAATTCTAATCAGCATCCATAGAAAACATCTTCTGAGATTACAGAATGAGCTATATGGAGATTGTTCTCAGCCTGAACAAACTAATAAACTTTAAAATAGAGGGACAGTATAGCACAATAACTGTGTAGTTAAGCAAGAAGTTCACCTTACATATGTAAAAAGGAAATATGACTTCTTAGTCTATATACACTTAAAGGAGAACTATGAGGTGAGTGATTTCCAATCATCCTCATAGTTAGAGCCGACCTGTGACAAAGAAGCTGATACATGTCGGCTCTACATGTCGGCTCTATCGATCGGGAAGTGAGCAGAAACATGCCCCGATCTGCTCACTTCCCGCTGTCAGTCACCGCTCCCCACAGGGATTCCTCCCCTCTCCGATCCTCCAGTGCCAAGTGGAGCAACGAACGGGGGAGGGAGCGGGTACAGTTGGCTCTGCTTCTAGATAGGCAGAGCCAGCTGCCACTCACGCAGCTGGGTGGATCCAGACAGTATTGTCGGGATCCGTCCCGGCTGCGGCGCTCTCAGTATATCTCGGGCAATAGCCTGCAATATTCTGAGCTTTCAGTTCACGGGAGGAGGTTAGTATATGTCCTCCTGTGACCCTAAAGAGAACTATGGGGAAAAACACTTACCCCATAGTTCTCTTTTAAAGAGTTAGTTTACCCCTTTTACAATAAAATTTCCCATGCATTCCAGTGTCCCCTGTACAGTATTGGCAGATGGAGCAATGACGGACAGCTTTAATCTGTCATTGTTGGAGTTGCAAACAGGTAGGTAAGTACAGTTCTGCTTAAATCTCAAACCTACTCAGGGGTTTTCATTCTGTAGTTTATGTCCAATCTGATTTTATTAAAGATTTCAATACAATACAAAACCTAATGGCAAACAGACATTTCACCATAACAAGGAAAATATAAAGGAGACAAGTAAACATACAGAATAGCTTGAATCTTCAGGCAAGCCTGAGAGCAACATCATCAGGGCACACAACATTGTTTCATTGTACAATTTGAAGCCCAACATCGATCGGCGTCTATTGCCTAATATACACAGGTAGGATGATGGCAGACTTATGGGCAACGTCTGAAACAGATATAGAAACCTGGGGACAATGTCCATTTTTAGAGTGTTAATTCGGCCCAGCCAGGATATGTGCTTGCGGTCGTATGTGGCAAGATCTTGTGTCACCCTCTCTAGTAGGGGGCGAAAGTTGGCGGAGTACAGATCCCCCTGGTCCGTTGTGAGAGCTATCCCCAGGTATTTTAGGGAAGTGGAGCATAGTCGGAAGGGGTAATTGGCAGTCAGGAGATGTAGGTCCGTTGCCCTAAAGGATACGTTAAGGATTTCTGATTTAGCGAGGTTGACTCGGAAGTTACTCAGGGAGCTAAAGTTCTGGAATTCACGCAGTATCGCGGGCATGGCTATATGGGGATGGGTCACGTAGAGTAACAGGTCATCCGCGAATAATGCAAGTTTATGCTGGTGGGTCCCCACCCTCAAACCCTGGAAAGCACCACTCTGCCTAAGTGCTACCGCCAGGTGTTCCATGGTGAGGACATAGAGTAGGGGGGACAATGGGCAGCCCTGCCTAGTGCCGTTGGAAATCCGGAAGCTCGGGGAGAGTGCCCCGTTCACCCGGATTTTAGCTGATGGGCAAGAATACAGGGCCATTATGTTCCTCATCATGGCGGGACGAATCCCTAGCTGAAGCAGAGAGAGGCGTAGGAAGTCCCAGTCAAGACGGTCAAACGCCTTGTCCGCGTCCACGGATAAGAGGCAGAGTGGTGTGCCCGAGGCTTTGGCATAATGCATCAACAGGAGCGTCCGAATGGTGTTATCTCGGGCCTCCCTCCCCTGTATGAACCCCACTTGGTCCCTGTGGATTACGCTCAGGAGTAGTGGTGTTAGTCGGTTGACAATAAGTTTGGCGAATAGTTTCACATCCACATTAAGGAGCGATATCGGCCTGTAATTGGTGCAGAGGGTATGGTCCTTATCTGGTTTAGGAATCAATGTGATATGGGCCTCCAACGCTTGAGCCGGGAAGGAGGACCCTAGGGCAACAGATGTGAACACCCTCAGAAGGAAGGGGGCCAGCTTATCGCGGAATGAGGTGTAAAATTTTACCGTAAACCCATCTGGTCCTGGACTCTTACCCGTAGGCGCGGACTGGAGGACTGAGAGCAATTCCGTCATAGTAAAGGGTGACTCCAATGCCTCAGCATCAGAGTCTCCCAGGGTCGGGAGGGCCGTGCGTTGGACATATTCATTCTGTAGTTTATTGTTACACTACATCAGCTTCATGGAAAACGTTTCTGGTACTGGTGATGCATGAGAAATTTGTAAATTGAACTAACCATTTGAAAAACTATACCTAGAAATATATTTTCTTTATATATTAACACACAATTGAAATGAAATGAGTTGTTTCACAGGAAGCTAGATAATGAAATCTAAACAACTGAATGAAAACCTCATAATAGGCAAAGAGATTAAAGCAGAATTGTATTACCTACCTGTTTGCAACTCTAGAAGTGATAGATCAAAATGATCCCTTGTTGCTCCATCTGCCAACACTGCCATCTTTTCCACCAGCTCCCACATCCTCCTATTGCCATTCGACTCTGTTCCCAGCATTTTACAGAGGCTAAGGATGAACCAGGATGTACAATGCACTGGGCTTGTGCAACAGTAGTGTGCTCTATTGTTAGAATTGGTAGGAAAGACAGGAAAGGGTTTTTGGCAGAAGAACATTGCACACAAAAGTATGTTCTGCTAAAAAAATTATTTTTTTTAGCAGAAGATTTTTTTTAAATCTCCTAACATTTAAAAAAAAATCTAAAGTCCTGCTTTAAGAATAAATAGAATCTTGGCTATAAAATATAAACATTTAGAACCTTAGAGCAACAAGCAGACAAACATATGTAAAACAATTGCTGAACATATTAAGGTAGCACTTTATTGTTTCTTTATATTTAGAGCCACACCCTGGAGGTTATGATGAAGATGGTATAAATCTAGAAGAGATACGTGAATTTGCCAAGGACTTTAAAATTCGTCGTCTTTCTCTTGGTCTGACTCAGACACAGGTGGGCCAAGCATTAACTGCCACAGAAGGACCTGCGTATAGCCAGTCTGCCATCTGTAGGTAAGACAGGGGGTTGTCTGTCCTTTTACATGGCACAGAAGCTGCATTAACTGAATAATAGATACACTTAAAAACAAGATGTTTTTGTATCCATAAATAGTCTTACACCTAAACTGTATCGCCAGTGTAAGTATATTCTGAATACACACAGTTGTCATCCACATTAGCAATGGAGATAGTTTTTTTTATACAAGCTTGAAAACTTTGTAAATCTGATTTCTCACAAGAGAAAATTAATCTGGACAAAAAGCAAACCTTTTCCCTTAGCAGTCATGTTTAAATCACTTCAGAAAAACAGTTCCACCTTTCCTCTATTGTCCTTGCTCCAATTACCATAAATCCCCCCTTAGTCTGGACATACATATAAGGTCATATTTTAAACTAGTTGTACTAATATATGCTATACATACTGCATATTGCAGTTCCCTCTAGATCAGTGGTTCTCAACTCGGGACACGTCTTTCTGCCTTGAGGAAGGGACCCTGCGCGGCCCCGAAACATCGGCATTTTGGATCATTGTGACGTCTTGTCCATTAAAGGGACATATTCATCTTCATTACCTCATTGAGTGCTGGTGATTTGCTTCTTTATCCTGTGTTTGCACGGTGCCATCCGTGGTTATCATTACGAGCACCATTTCACTTATTGGCCGGGACTGCTGTTAGGTGTGCGGAGAGCTCCTCCATCAATCCTCAACTCAGGACACACATTTGTTCTTGGTAATTAAGTCGTGTAAATCAATTAAGTCGGTAAATCAAGTCGCAATGCAATGGAACACACGGCATTGTGAAGAAATTTTCTGTGTTGATCTGCTCTCCAACATTTTACCCACAAATCTAGTACAAAGTTTAATTTGCCAGTGTGTGAATTGAATAAGCGTATGTAGGGTATCAGGAATGTTCAGGAATCTTGCGTTACCAGCTCGGGCCTTTCAATTCCTTACAGAGCTAAAGTTAACCGGGGCCCATAATCCATGACTGCTTTCTGTGTGTCTCTAATGTTTAAGGAGGCCACTTAGAATGATGGAAAAGGTTTAAGAGGTGAAAAGGGATGGATGGATAGATGAAGGTGAGATATAAATATTAGCGTTCTTGGGGCACTCTGAAAGATATCATATGGCACCCGCAGAATCCTTTATGTGCCTGCATTTAATTGCTGGTGCTATAATTACGAATACACGTTGATTTACCACTATGACATCAGTGAATGTGTATTTAATGAAGATAACCCTGTGTATTCCTAAATTCATAAATAACCCGTGGAATTCTTTGATAGTAAATCAATTTGTGTTACTTTAGTAATTATTCACTTAGGGGTCTATTTATAAACAATTTGTAGGGCCCCTCGCCCTGCAAATATCTGTGAACATTTATTTTAATGCGAATCATGTCAAAAATGAATGTTCTTCAGGGGTGCAGAATTGCTATCGCCCGACGCCCGGGACATGCAGTTGCGGGCGTCGGGCAGTTTTTTTCCCTACATTTAGCTTTGCGCTGACCAATGAGAAGCACTTCTTAGCACAGTTAAATACGGTTTTGGGTAAAATATTATTTATATCACAACAAGTAGATTGTCATCAGGGACAAGTAGATTGGGCCCCCACTTTAGTTCTTGGACAAGTAGTTTTTTTAAAAATGTCCACACCCCTGTGCTTAAAGTGATATTAAAGTCAAAAGGTTTTTAACCCCTTCATGACTGAGCTAGTTTTCCGTTTCTGTTCATAAATTACTGACACACTTTTACATTTTTGCTGTGTGATGCTTCCACAGCAGTAATATACTTTCTTACTAAATGTACCCACACATATTATATATTGTTTTTTAGAGGACAGATAGGGCTAATCGCAAATTGCTTCTTCCTTTCATTAACCCCTTCGTGACTGACGACGTACACTGTAGTCACGAAGGGGTTACTGAAAGGAAGAAGCTTTTACAAAAAGCTTAATTATTTCATTAATGAATGCCTCAATGCTGAGGCATTCATTAATGACTGGTAACTGCTGAGAATCAGCTGTTACCAGCATTACAAAGCCTGATATAACTCGTCACGTACAGTGTACGTGGCCAGTCATATAGGCACTTTGTGACGGGACGTACACTGTACGTCTCCCGTCACGAAGGGGTTAAGCTATTTCAAATCCTGATGAAATCACTTACAATAGATGCTGATCCTTGATGTTTAAACGTTTTATTTCCTGCAGAATCACTGAACACTGGTCCTGACTTACTGTTTTAGAGTGCCTCCTTTCCCTTGCAAGGTCCTATGGAGCCATCCTTGTGTGTGCTAGTAAGCTGTGTGTCTCCACAAACACACATGCACAGCAAGGCAATCCCGTTACCTCGCCCTTACACCCCCCTCTCTTTCCTCCCTTCTCCAAGTTAGTAGATGATTGCAGTCTCCCTTGTGATCTTATACTGGATATGAAGTTTAGGGATGCTGAAAGTTGGAGCCAGCTCTTTCCAAACATGATGACTGTAAATGCTTGAGCAAAAATGTAAAAAAAAATGTTTGCTTGGCAATGTATATTTGTTTGATCTAGATTTATTTTTGAAAAAATGTTTGAGAGTTTAATATTACTTGAATGTATTTTTTCCCAGTTCGTATGCTACAAATTGTTTATAAATAGACCCCCGTTGGTGTTGGAGGTAAATTATTTACATTTTGCTTAAAACAATCAACTTCTGAATGCAGTTACAGCCATGACTAATGATGATCACTTTGTAGTCTTTTTGAAGCCTCTTTTATAGTCGCAAATACAATTATGAACAGACAGTACAACTATGTATTAACTGTAGCTTGCTCATTGATTCTTAGATCATAGTTCTCTGATATGAAAACCCTGCTGTTTAATACCTTATTTTCTATACCGTCCATTGAGGGACACAGGAATTCTTAGACTTTCGGGTTATACTGCCGCCTTCAGGAGAAATAGACACTGGCAGCAAAAAAGTCAGTAGTCTGCAAAGGATAACCATCATACCTCAGTATTTGCTAGTGTCTTCAAGCGAGTGGATGTATTTTCTTCAGCTCTGCTGTTTGGAAGATTTCTGCTATCAACACCTGCTGGTCAATTTATGCCGCATTTATGAAATCCTGGCTAGTTTCGCCAGTCAGCCAACAGCGATGGTAGACTCATGCCGGATAATAAAAATCCTGGTGGTTTCTCCAGGTAGCCAAGAAATGCAGGTTTTCCCAGTTTTAGCCTGGTGATCTCTCTGCAAAGGCCCTGAATATCTGGAAGTTTATTATGGTCATCTACAGCTACTGATGAATTCAGGACTGGATATGGAAACCCTGGACAACTCTCTATCTAGACAAGCAGCACAGGTTCCCAGTTCATTATACTGGTGTTCCCTCTGTGTCAGTGCATTCGGCGCTGACTACTGTTTGTGTTCCAGTCCCCCCAGGACTTCACAATTTAGGTTAAGCCAGTATGTCTGGCCAGTATGTCTCTATACTTATGGATTCTTCCATGTATTGTATCTGAATTTGTCTCAGGCAGAATTGTCAGGACAGACTGCTGTTAGCAGGGCACTGTGTGAAAGTTAGTTTTTTCCTTTCCTACTCTGTGTCTTACTACTGGCTTTATTCAGAAACTTGTGACATTTGTACTTTACATTGGTGTCATTGATGTTATTCGTTCCTCCTGTCACAAGGGACTGTACATTACAGGGCCCCTCAGTGTTGCAATGGTGACCTGTGCTTCTTATACTTTATGTACTTCACATGTTGGCCACATGGGGAGCTCTCCTCTTTATTTCTGCTCAGGCTAGCTGGGAAAAACTGTTACTGTTTATTTCCAACCTCCCCCTTCTCCCTGGCTACTGATGACATAGTTTTCACTCAGCATAGAGCGGCAGCACATGTGAAAGTTATTCAGCAGCTGGGTATTGGTGACACGCACACTCTTTCCTTCCTTGATTAAGGAACATATCGCATAGATTCAGCTCAGAAATACAATAAACCTAATATATGCTTGTCATAAACATTATGCTATATCATTGATGCAGTAGCTGGGCTTTGACAGATTTACTATGTGGAAATGTGGCTGGGAGGAGCTGTCTGGCATTGTAAACAGTAATGCGGCTTGATACTGTTGCTGCTTGTTGTGGTTCAGTGAACGTGTGACAGGCAGCTCCTTTTCCATTCATGCTTACAGTGAACCCTACTGGGTGCCACGTGTATAAAGCCACACACAAAAGCTCACAAAAGAGTATTCTGTGGCTATTGTTGAGCTGCTGTAAATCTTTATATGTCATGCCCTACTGTCAGATATTATTTGGAAGTTTAGATTTCACGTCTCTCCTGGTTATTGTGCCCCCCTGCAGCTCCACATGCTCTGACACAGATGTTAAGTGTTCTCCCTGTCACTTTCTCTACGGCCACTATGCGTTCTTTAGTGGGTAAGGCATTGGATGGAGTCCTGTTACAGGCCTTCACGTTGCCTTGTTTGCTTGGCCTTCACTTCTCTGGTGACCAGATGTAGGATGACTCTGCTTGGGCTAGTGCACTGCAAGACTTGGTCTTTTTTGGCTCTTGTGTCATGGAGGGTTGCTTATGCTCTGGTTCATCCTCCTGCTGTGGCCTGCCTCTGACCCATGAGTCATTACCGCCCTCTTCCCTCATCCTCTGTTAAATCTGACACGCAGAACTTCTCTGGTTCAGTTTAGGATCCCTCTGTGGAAACATTCTTATATCTGCACTCTACACCCTCTCTGAAAGAAAAATGTTTGCACCAGCTTAGATCTGTTGCTATCAAGCCCACTTATTAGAATTTATTTTCTTCTTATTGTGGCAATCTAATTTACTCTTTACCTCAGTAGTATTGACAGCTCCTGCTTGTGATTGCACATTGTCTAGCCATAAAGTATGCTTGGACAACTGGCTTTAATTTTTAATTTCAGCTGTGCCAGCCTGATTTTGTATTGCATGTGTCTCCTATCAGTATTCATGCATGGGCACCCTGGTTTTGGTCCTGGACTGCAGACTTTTTGTGTCAG